ACTTATGGTCTCTGTGTAACTCTATGGCTCTCTGTGTAACTCTATGGCTCTCTGTGTAACTCTATGGCTTCTGTGTAACTCTATGGCTCTCTGTGTAACTCTATGGCTCTCTGTGTAACTCTATGGCTCTCTGTGTAACTCTATGGGCTCTCTGTGTAACTCTATGGCTCCTCTGTGTAACTATATGGGTTACTCTATGGCTCTCTGTTAACTCTATGGCTCTCTCTGTGTAACTCTATGGCTCTCTGTGTAACTCTATGGCTCTCTGTGTAACTCTATGGCTCTCTGTGTAACTCTATGGCTCTCTGTGTAACTCTTATGGCTCTCTGTGTAACTCTATGGCTCTCTGTGTAACTCTATGGCTCTCTGTGTAACTCTATGGCTCTCTGTGTAACTCTATGGCTCTCTGTGTAACTCTATGGCTCTCTGTGTAACTCTATGGCTCTCTGTGTAACTCTATGGCTCTCTGTGTAACTCTATGGCTCTCTGTGTAACTCTATGGCTCTCTAGTGTAACTCTATGGCTCTCTGTGTAACTCTATGGCTCTCTGTGTAACTCTATGCTCTCTGTGTAACTCTATGACTCTCTGTGTAACTCTATGGCTCTCGTGTGTAACTCTATGTCTCTCTGTGTACCTCTATGGCTCTCTGTGTAACCTCTATGGCTCTCTGTGTAACTCTATGGCTCTCTAGTGTAACTCTATGGCTCTCTAGTGTAACTCTATGTCTCTCTGTGTAACTCTATGGGCTCTCTATGTAACTCTATGGGTCTCTGTGTAACTCTATGGCTCTCTAGTGTAACTCTATGGCTCTCTGTGTAACTCTATGGGCTCTCTGTGTAACTCTATGGCTCTCTGTGTAACTCTATGGCTCTCTAGTGTAACTCTATGGCTCTCTGTGTAACTCTATAGGCTCTCTGTGTAATCTCTATGGCTCTCTGTGTACTCTATGGCTCCTCTGTGTAACTCTATGGCTCTCTGTGTAACTCTATGTCTCTCTGTGTAACTCTATGGCTCTCTGTGTAACTCTTTGGCTCTCTGTGTAACTCTATGGGTCTCTGTGTAACTCTATGGCTCTCTGTGTAACTCTATAGCTCTCTATGTAACTCTATGGCTCTCTACGTAACTTTATGTCTCTCTCTATAACTCTATGGGTCTCCGTGTAACTCTATGGCTCTCTGTGTAACTCTATGGCTCTCTATGTAACTCTATGGCTCTCTGTGTAACTCTATGGCTCTCTGTGTAACTCTATGCGTCTCTGTGTAACTCTATGGCTCTCTGTGTAACTCTATGGCTCTCTGTGTAACTCTGTGTAACTCTATGGCTCTCTGGGTAACTCTATGGCTCTCTGTGTAACTCTATGGCTCTCTGTGTAATTCTATGGCTCTCTGTGTAACTCTATGGCTCTCTGTGTAACTCTATGGCTCTCTGTGTAACTCTATGGCTCTCTGTGTAACTCTATGGCTCTCTGTGTAACTCTATGGCTCTCTGTGTAACCCTATGGCTCTCTGTGTATCTCTATGGCTCTCTGTGTAACTCTATGGCTCTCTGTGTAACTCTATGGCTCTCTGTGTAACTCTATGTCTCTCTGTGTAACTATATGGCTCTCTGTGTAACTCTTTGGCTCTCTGTGTAACTCTATGGGTCTCTGTGTAACTCTATGGCTCTCTGTGTAACTCTATGGCTCTCTATGTAACTCTATGGCTCTCTACGTAACTTTATGTCTCTCTGTATAACTCTATGGGTCTCCGTGTAACTCTATGGCTCTCTGTGTAACTCTATGGCTCTCTATGTAACTCTATGGCTCTCTGTGTAACTCTTTGGCTCTCTGTGTTACTCTATGCGTCTCTGTGTAACTCTATGGCTCTCTGTGTAACTCTATGGCTCTCTGTGTAACTCTGTGTAACTCTATGGCTCTCTGTGTAACTCTATGGCTCTCTGTGTACTCTATGTCTCTCTGTGTAACTCTATGGCTCTCTGTGTAACTCTATGGCTCTCTGTGTAACTCTACGGCTCTCTGTGTAACTCTATGGCTCTCTGTGTAACTCTATGGCTCTCTGCGTAACTCTATGGCTCTCTGTGTAACTCTATGGCTCTCTGTGTAACTCTATGCCTCTCTGCGTAACTCTATGCCTCTCTGTGTAACTCTATGGCTCTCTGTGTAACTCTATGGCTCTCTGTGTAACTCTATGGCTCTCTGTGTAACTCTATGGCTCTCTGTGTACTCTATGGCTCTCTGTGTAACTCTATGGCTCTCTGTGTAACTCTATGGCTCTCTGTGTAACTCTATGGCTCTCTGTGTAACTCTATGGCTCTCTGTGTAACTCTATGGCTCTCTGTGTAACTCTATGGCTCTCTGTGTAACTCTATGGCTCTCTGTGTAACTCTATGGCTCTCTGTGTAAACTCTACGGCCCTGTAACTGCCGCCACTGCCGCTGCTCTTGCGCTATGATCGTCCTCGTGACGCCGCAGCCGCTCCCAGCTCCACGTGGCACGCACCAACTGGAATAGGTCGGAGAAGCCCGAGTCCGGTAGACGCATAGCGCCCCCTGTCACGATCCGTGCCGCGCGTGTCGTCCGGGGTGATGCCGTGCGGCTGTGACACCGATGCCCCACGCACGCCACGCACATTCACATCAAAGGGGCGAATTAGTAACTCGTCATGATTTGCTCGTGAAAAGCCTGCGCGTGTTAAACGAAACGCTCGCACGTACTTTGTCTTTATTTAAGATATATCTTCTCTATGTATATATTATGTAATTGTATCTCCCCCCCCCCGCCGCCCCAACCGGCGTGGCGTGCTGCTCGCCCGCCGCAGCAAGTACTTCGGCGAGAAGATCGGCCTCTACTTTGCCTGGCTCGGGGTCTACACGGCGCTCCTCATCCCCGTGTCGGTGCTCGGCGTCGTCGTGTTTGCCTACGGATGCCTCACGCTGCACTACGACATCCCCAGGTGAGTGCGCCGACAGCACCACCACCACCACCAAGGCCACCTCCACCACCAGGGCCACGACCACCACAACCAGTGCCACCACCACCAGGGCCACGACCACCATCACCAGGGCTACCACCACGAGGGCCACCACCAGGGCCACCACCAGGGTCGCCACCACCACCACCAGGGCCACAACCACCACCAGGGCTACCGCCACCACCAGGGTCGCCACCACCACCAGGGCCACCACCAACAACAACAACAACCGCCATTCGCCACTAAGTGGCGGTGACATCACCACGATGCTTGTGCCAGGCCATGTGCACCTTGAGGCCACGTGAAGTGTCGAACGCCCGCTGACAGGAGGTCACAGGGCAGACCCAGGTGCCACGGGTCGACTGACTGAGATGACTGAGATGACTGGCTGATGCACCACCTGTGCCCCCTACTATGCCAACCTGCTGTGCTTTAGCCACCCGGCGCTACCGCTCGTTGTTGTGAGCGTCGCTCCTTTGCCCTCCGTTGTTGTTGGAGGGCGACTGCCTCCAACTTCCCAGTAGCGTCCTTCATGAGCCTCCTCCACAGAGGCCGATCTTGACACCACTGGTACCAGTCATCGGCAAGTCCACTCAGCTCCACGTCCTCCTGTACCACGTCACTCCATCTCTTCTCTAGCCCGTGCTGCGCCCGTTTAGCCCCCTCGATTAGGCTGAACAAAAGCTGTTTCGGCATGCGGTGGCTGGGCATGCGGGCTACATGACCCAGCCAACGCAGCCTTGCCTGCCGGAGGAGCTCACCGATGGGACCTTGCCCAGATCTTTCAAAGATTTGTGAGCTCCTCACACAATCCAGCCTGGTTAAACCCAGGATGGATCGTAGGCAGGCTAGCCTAAATGTTTCTAACCGGCGAAGATGTTCCATTAGAGGGGTCCACGTTTCGCAAGCGTAGAGAAGGGAGGGAATGACCGTGGCCGAGAAGACCTGAAGCTTAGTGCGGAGCAACAGACCAGGTAGCTTCCACACAGCGTTACGCAACCGATGAAAAGATATTGCCGCTCGACTGATTCGGATTGAGACCTCTGCTGTTAAACTGTAGCCGGTCATAAGCACACTGCCCAGGTATGGGAAACTCTCCACTCACCACCACCAGGGCCACCACCACCACCAGGGTCACCACCACCAAGGCCATCGCCACCGTCGCTGCCACCAAAAGCAAAGATCCCCCGTGTAGCCTTAATGGACTGTTGAGGCAAGTGCTGGCAGTCGAATCTGTCTTCGTAGTGGTTGGGAATCTGATGAGCTGCGAGGCTCTTTGTCCCACCACAGATGTCCAGCAGGGAGCGCCTGTGAAGGCACACGACGGGGTGTGTGGCCAGCACCGCGCTCGACCGCCTCTGTCTCCCCAGTGGCGATGTTTACTACACACCGCACCGGGGTACTCATTTGAGCTGAGCCGACCTAGGGGAGGCCCAGGATCGGTTCAAATAATCCTCCCTGGTGTTGGTGGCCGTGAGCGGGAATCAAAGTCGGGTCGCCGGGTCGGTAGCGCGGCTCCGCTAACCGCTACACCACAGCTCCCTCGCCACCGCCAGCCGCAGTTCCAAACTCCGGGTGCCAGCGGTAGCGTCATCGGAATCCGCCCCGGGTTTTTCGGGTCTCCGTTATGAAACGCGCACGGGGAGACTCCGTTCCGTTGTCGCGCCGTTCGTATGGGCGGTGTGGTGCCCCCAGATTTAATTTGATGTCGATTCGCCTTTGCGAGTGCCGCCACGAATCCCAAACCCTCGACGGCATCGTGGACACTCCGCCACTGCTCTGCAGCCTTCACTGCTTGGAAAATGGGACGAACGCCGTCCACCGTGCGTCTGAACAGACAATCGAGTGGATCTACAATTACATCGTTAATCTGCTGCCATTGATTCCTACGGAAGAAGAAGGTTCGATATTGGACATCGATCCCACTTGGCGTGATGTCAGTGCGGTCCACCAACGCCACTGCCGTCACGTGACCGGGGCGCGGAGGCGACTCGGTGGGGGCCACCAGCAGCGGGCCTGCTGCTGGACGCCTTTGAAACAAGAGCTTCGTGGCTCATCGGATTTTCTTTCTCCAGGACAGATTAAGATTCTAATTCCGATTGACTTTCGGCCAAAATGGGAATTGTGTCGATAATGTGTTTGGTCCATCATGCGATATTCGATAAGCCAGCTTGCTGGCCGGCTCCGTATAGGCGAGAAAGGTTTGCTGACTGGCTGGGAGCGACGGACAGATGGTCGCCCACATGCAGGTCGTCATTTACACACACAGCGTTGTTGACGGACCACGGTGAGCTGCAGCGCTACTCGTTCCTGATCCGTGTTTCAGCATGGTCACACCACGCCTCTTCTTTCCTTCGTCATCTAGTCCAGGGTGTTCCTCGTTGCAAGGGGAAACACTCTATCACAGTGTTCTTCATCACAAGGTGTAACACTCTATCACAGTGTTCATCATCGCAAGGTGTAACACTCTATCACAGTGTTCATCATCACAAGGGGTAACACTCTATCACAGTGTTCTTCATCACAAGGGGTAACACTCTATCACAGTGTTCTTCATCACAAGGGGTAACACTCTATCACAGTGTTCTTCATCACAAGGGGTAACACTCTATCACAGTATTCTTCATCACAAGGTGTAACACTCTATCACAATGTTATTCACCACAAGGGGTAACACTCTATCACAGTGTTCTTCATCACAAGGGGTAACACTATCACAGTGTTCTTCATCACAAGGGGTAACACTCTATCACAGTGTTCATCATCACAAGGGGTAACACTCTATCACAGTGTTCTTCATCACAAGGGGTAACACTCTATCACAGTGTTCATCATCACAAGGGGTAACACTCTATCACAATGTTCATCATCACAAGGGGTAACACTCTATCACAGTGTTCTTCATCACAAGGGGTAACACTCTATCACAGTGTTATTCATCACAAGGGGTAACACTCTATCACAGTGTTCTTCATCACAAGGGGTAACACTCTATCACAGTGTTCATCATCACAAGGGGTAACACTCTATCACAGTGTTATTCATCACAAGGGGTAACACTATCACAGTGTTCATCATCACAAGGGGTAACACTCTATCACAGTGTTCTTCATCACAAGGGGTAACACTCTATCACAGTGTTCATCATCACAAGGGGTAACACTCTATCACAGTGTTCTTCATCACAAGGGGTAACACTCTATCACAGTGTTCATCATCACAAGGGGTAACACTCTATCACAGTATTCTTCATCACAAGGTGTAACACTCTATCACAATGTTATTCACCACAAGGGGTAACACTCTATCACAGTGTTCTTCATCACAAGGGGTAACACTATCACAGTGTTCTTCATCACAAGGGGTAACACTCTATCACAGTGTTCATCATCACAAGGGGTAACACTCTATCACAGTGTTCTTCATCACAAGGGGTAACACTCTATCACAGTGTTCATCATCACAAGGGGTAACACTCTATCACAATGTTCATCATCACAAGGGGTAACACTATATCACAGTGATCTTCATCACAAGGTGTAACACTCTATCCCAGTGTTCTTCATCACAAGGTGTAACACTCTATCACAGTGTTCATCATCACAAGGGGTAACACTCTATCACAGTGTTTCTTCAATCACAAGGGTAACACTCTATCACAGTGTTCATCATCACAAGGGGTAACACTCTATCACAGTGTTCTTCATCACAAGGGGTAACACACTATCACAGTGTTCATCATCACAAGGGGTAACACTCTATCACAGTGATCTTCATCACAAGGGGTAACACTCTATCACAGTATTCTTCATCACAAGGGGTAACACTCTATCACAGTGTTCATCATCACAAGGGGTAACACTCTATCACAGTGTTCATCATCACAAGGGGTAAACACTCTATCACAGTGTTCTTCATCACAAGGGGTAACACTCTATCACAGTGATCTTCATCACAAGGGGTAACACTCTATCACAGTGTTCATCATCACAAGGTGTAACACTCTATCACAGTATTCTTCATCACAAGGGGTAACACTCTATCACAGTGATCTTCATCACAAGGGGTAACACTCTATCACAGTGTTCATCATCACAAGGGGTAACACTCTATCACAGTGTTCATCATCACAAGGGGTAACACTCTATCAAAGTGTTCTTCATCACAAGGGGTAACACTCTATCACAGTGTTCTTCATCACAAGGGGTAACACTCTATCACAGTAGTCATCATCACAAGGGGCAACACTCTATCACAGTGTTCATCATCACAAGGGGTAACACTCTATCACAGTGTTCATCATCACAAGGGGTAACACTCTATCACAGTGTTCATCATCACAAGGGGTAACACTCTATCACAGTGTTCATCATCACAAGGGGTAACACTCTATCACAATGTTCATCATCACAAGGGGTAACACTATATCACAGTGATCTTCATCACAAGGTGTAACACTCTATCCCAGTGTTCTTCATCACAAGGTGTAACACTCTATCACAGTGTTCATCATCACAAGGGGTAACACTCTATCACAGTGTTCTTCATCACAAGGGGTAACACTCTATCACAGTGTTCATCATCACAAGGGGTAACACTCTATCGCAGTGTTCTTCATCACAAGGGGTAACACACTATCACAGTGTTCATCATCACAAGGGGTAACACTCTATCACAGTGATCTTCATCACAAGGGGTAACACTCTATCACAGTATTCTTCATCACAAGGGGTAACACTCTATCACAGTGTTCATCATCACAAGGGGTAACACTCTATCACAGTGTTCATCATCACAAGGGGTAACACTCTATCACAGTGTTCTTCATCACAAGGGGTAACACTCTATCACAGTGATCTTCATCACAAGGGGTAACACTCTATCACAGTGTTCATCATCACAAGGTGTAACACTCTATCACAGTATTCTTCATCACAAGGGGTAACACTCTATCACAGTGATCTTCATCACAAGGGGTAACACTCTATCACAGTGTTCATCATCACAAGGGGTAACACTCTATCACAGTGTTCATCATCACAAGGGGTAACACTCTATCAAAGTGTTCTTCATCACAAGGGGTAACACTCTATCACAGTGTTCATCATCACAAGGGGTAACACTCTATCACAGTGTTCATCATCACAAGGGGTAACACTCTATCACAGTGTTCTTCATCACAAGGGGTAACACTCTATCACAGTGTTCATCATCACAAGGGGTAACACTCTATCACAGTGTTCTTCATCACAAGGGGCAACACTCTATCACAGTGTTCTTCATCACAAGGGGTAACACTCTATCCCAGTGTTCTTCATCACAAGGGGTAACACTCTATCACAGTGATCTTCATCACAAGGTGTAACACTCTATCACAGTGTTCTTCATCACAAGGGGTAACACTCTATCACAGTGTTCTTCATCACAAGGGGTAACACTCTATCACAGTGTTCTTCATTACAAGGGGTGACACTCTATCACAGTGTTCTTCATCACAAGGGGCAACACTCTATCACAGTGTTCTTCATCACAAGGGGTAACACTCTATCCCAGTGTTCTTCATCACAAGGGGTAACACTCTATCACAGTGTTCTTCATCACAAGGTGTAACACTCTATCACAGTAGTCTTCATCACAAGGGGTAACACTCTATCACAGTGTTCTTCATCACAAGGTGTAACACTCTATCACAGTAGTCTTCATCACAAGGGGTAACACTCTATCACAGTGTTCTTCATCACAAGGGGTAACACTCTATCCCAGTGTTCTTCATCACAAGGGGTAACACTCTATCACAGTGTTCATCATCACAAGGGGTAACACTCTATCACAGTGTTCTTCATCACAAGGTGTAACACTCTATCACAGTGTTCATCATCACAAGGGGTAACACTCTATCACAGTGTTCATCATCACAAGGGGTAACACTCTATCACAGTGTTCATCATCACAAGGGGTAACACTCTATCACAGTGTTCATCATCACAAGGGGTAACACTCTATCACAGTGTTCTTCATCACAAGGTGTAACACTCTATCACAGTGATCTTCATCACAAGGGGTAACACTCTATCCCAGTGGTCATCATCACAAGGGGTAACACTCTATCACAGTGTTCATCATCACAAGGAGTAACACTCTATCACAGTGATCTTCATCACAAGGTGTAACACTCTATCCCAGTGTTCATCATCATAAGGGGTAACACTCTATCACAGTGTTCATCATCACAAGGGGTAACACTCTATCACAGTGTTCATCATCACAAGGGGTAACACTATATCACAGTGTTCTTCATCACAAGGGGTAACACTCTATCACAGTGTTCATCATCACAAGGGGTAACACTCTATCACAGTGTTCATCATCACAAGGTGTAACACTCTATCACAGTGTTCATCATCACAAGGGGTAACACTCTATCAAAGTGTTAATCATCACAAGGTGTAACACTCTATCACAGTGTTCTTCATCACAAGGTGTAACACTATCACAGTGTTCATCATCACAAGGGGTAACACTCTATCACAGTGTTCATCATCACAAGGGGTAACACTCTATCACAGTGTTCTTCATCACAAGGGGTAACACTCTATCACAGTGTTCTTCATCACAAGGGGTAACACTCTATCACAGTGTTCATCATCACAAGGGTAACACTCTATCACAGTGATCTTCATCACAAGGTGTAACACTCTATCACAGTGTTCTTCATCACAAGGGGTAACACTCTATCACAGTGTTCATCATCACAAGGGGTAACACTCTATCACAGTGTTCATCATCACAAGGGGTAACACTCTATCACAGTGATCTTCATCACAAGGGGTAACACTCTATCTCAGTGTTCATCATCACAAGGGGTAACACTCTATCACAGTGTTCTTCATCACAAGGGGTAACACTCTATCACAGTGTTCTTCATCACAAGGGGTAACACTCTATCACAGTGATCTTCATCATAAGGGGTAACACTCTATCACAGTGTTCATCATCACAAGGGGTAACACTCTATCACAGTGTTCTTCATCACAAGGCCCCCACGGGCCACTGGCATCCCCCTGGTGGCCTTTAGTGCGGCTACTGACCTGCGGCCTGTCCTACAAGACACACAGAGTGACAACACCACCCCATCATCATGATCGTCATCATCGTCGTGCTGCTGTCAAGCCCCTTGCGCTGACGATGTCTCATCGGCTCAAGTGCCGCCCCGCCGCCCCCGCTCTGAAAATGATCGACGGACACCGCTCGAGACCCTGCCCCCAACCCCCACCCCTGCGCCCCCCACAGCACCGAGATGTGCGAGCGCGGGGCCAACCTGACCATGTGCCCGCTGTGCGACCGCCTCTGCGACTACTGGCGCCTGGACTCGGCCTGCGGCATGGCCCGCGCCAGCCACCTGTTCGACAACCCCGCCACGGTCGTCTTCTCCGTTGTGATGGCGCTCTGGGGTACACCACTACCACCACCACTACCACCACCTCTATCACCACCACTACCACTATCACCACCACTACCAGGGTGGGTGCGGCTGGGTGGGGAGGAGGGGGAGGGTGGGGAGGGGCTGGATGGGGAGGGTGGGGGTTGGGGCTGGGTGGGGAGGGGCTGGTCACCCCGTGGTGCCCTTATTAAACTCAACGTTTAACCTACTCACGCCGGCTTGTGCCCGCCCTCACAGTCGGGATTATTTGCGGAATACACCACGTGGTGCCACCAATGACCCTGGCCATTGACCGAGCAACCCAACGTTCCTACCAGCTCCCTCCGCAGGAAAATGTGTTATAATCATTACTTTTGCTCTTGTTAAGTTCTCATAATTCCCTCCACCGTGCAGCGAGTGATGTCCCGTTCAGGAGGTGCCACCACTGCCGACGGTCTTGGGCTGTTGTCTATGAATCGCCATGTAACTCTATGGCTCTCTGTGTATCTCTATGGCTCTCTGTGTAACTCTATGGCTCTCTGTGTATCTCTGTGACTCCCTGTGTAACTCCATGGCTCTCTGTGTGACTCTAATGCTCTCTGTGTGACTCTATGGCTCTCTGTGTATCTCTATGGCTCTCTGTGTATCTCTATGGCTCTCTGTGTATCTCTATGGCTCTCTGTGTAATTCTATGGCTCTCTGTGTATCTCTATGGCTCTCTGTGTAACTCTGTGGCTCTCTGTGTATCTCTGTGGCTCTCTGTGTAACTCCATGGCTCTCTGTGTGACTCTATAGCTCTCTGTGTGACTCTATGGCTCTCTGTGTATCTCTGTGGCTCTCTGTGTATCTCTGTGGCTCTCTGTGTAACTCTATGGCTCTCTGTGTATCTCTATGGCTCTCTGTGTATCTCTATGGCTCTCTGTGTATCTCTATGGTTCTCTGTGTAACTCGATGGTTCTCTGTGTAACTCTATGGTTCTCTGTGCAACTCTATGGCTCTCTGTGTAACTCTGTGGCTCTCTGTGTATCTCTATGGCTCTCTGTGTAACTCTATGGCTCTCTGTGTGACTCTATGGCTCTCTGTGTATCTCTATGGCTCTCTGTGTATCTCTGTGGCTCTCTGTGTAACTCTATGGCTCTCTGTGTATTTCTATGGCTCTCTGTGTATCTCTATGGCTCTCTGTGTATCTCTATGGCTCTCTGTGTAATTCTATGGCTCTCTGTGTATCTCTATGGTTCTCTGTGTAACTCGATGGTTCTCTGTGTATCTATATGGCTCTCTATGTAACTCTATGGCTCTCTGTGTAACTCTATGGCTCTCTGTGTAACTCTATGGCTCTCTGTATAACTCGATGGCTCTCTGTGTAACGCTATGGCTCTCGATGTATCTTTGTGGCTCTCTGTGTAACTAAATTACTCTCTGTGTAACTCTATGGCTCTCTGTGTATCTCTATGGCTCTCTGTGTAACTCTATGGCTCTCTGTGTAACTCTATGGCTCTCTGTGTATCTCTATGGCTCTCTGTGTAACTCTATGGCTCTCTGTGTAACTCTATGGCTCTCTGTGTATCTCTATGGCTCTCTGTGTAACTGTATGGCTCTCTGTGTAACTCTATGGATATCTGTGTAACTCTATGGCTCTCTGTGTAACTCTATGGATCTCTATGTAACTCTTTGGATCTCTATGTAACGCTATGGCCCTCCGTTTAACTCTATGGCTCTCTGTGTAACTCTATGGATCTCTATGTAACTCTATGGATCTCTATGTAACTCTATGGATCTCTATGTAACGCTATGGCTCTCTGTGTAACTCTATGGCTCTCTGTGTAACTCTATGGATCTCTATGTAACTCTATCGATCTCTATGTAACTCTATGGATCTCTATGTAACGCTATGGCTCTCTGTGTAACTCTGTGGCTCTCTGTGTAACTCTATGGCTCTCTGTGTAACTCTATGGCTCTCTGTGTAACTTTATGGCTCTCTGTGTAACTCTATGGCTCTCTGTGTAACTCTATGGATCTCTATGTAACTCTATGGCTCTCTGTGTAACTCTATGCCTCTCTGTGTAACTTTATGGCTCTCTGTGTAACTCTATGGCTCTCTGTGTAACTCTATGGATCTCTATGTAACTCATGGATCTCTATGTAACTCTATGGATCTCTATGTAACGCTATGGCTCTGTGTATCTCTATGGCTCTCTGTGTAACTCGATGGATCTATATGTAACTCTATGGCTCTCTGTGTAACTCTATGGCTCTCTGTGTAACTTTATGGCACTCTGTGTAACTCTATGGCTCTCTGTGTAACTCTATGGATCTCTATGTAACTCATGGATCTCTATGTAACTCTATGGATCTCTATGTAACGCTATGGCTCTCTGTGTAACTCTATGGCTCTCTATGTAACTCTATGGATCTCTATGTAACGCTATGGCCCTCCGTGTAACTCTATGGCTCTCTGTGTAACTCTATGGATCTCTACGTAACTCTATGGATCTCTATGTAACGCTATGGCCCTCCGTGTAACTCTATGGCTCTCTGTGTAACTCTATGGCTCTCTATGTTACTCTATGGATCTCTGTGTAACTCTATGGCTCTCTGTGTAACTCTATGGATCTCTATGTAACTCTATGGATCTCTATGTAACGCTATGGCTCTCTGTGTAACTCTCGGGATCTCTGTGTAACTCGATGGCTCTCTGTGTAACTCTATGTCTCTCTGTGTAACTCTATGGCTCTCTGTGTAACTCTTTGGCTCTCTGTGTAACTCTGTGGCTCTCTGTGTAACTCTATGGATCTCTGTGTAACTCTTTGGATATCTGTGTAACTCTATGGATCTCTATGTAACTCTATAGATCTCTATGTAACTCTATGAATCTCTATGTAACGCTATGGCTCTCTGTGTAACTATGGATCTTTGTGTAACTCTATGGATATCTGGTAACTCTATGGATCTCTATGTAACTCTATGGCTCTCTGTGTAACTCTATGGCTCTCTGTGTATCTCTATGGATCTCTATGTAACTCTATGGCTCTCTGTGTAATTCCGATGTAGCTCCGATGCGCTGTCACTGCCGCCACTACTGCTGGGCTGTTGGTCATCGTCCTTGTAACAGAGCTGCTTAGCTCAAGGTGGCCTTAAGTCAACTCAAGTAAATTTTGTTTGGCTTAAACACGTGACGCCTTTTTGGCATAAATCTGACACCCAGAGCGCCACGCGTTCAGAGTATTTGGCTGCTATAAATGTAGACATGATAGGCCACTTCGCATGATAGGCCACTTATCATTTGTGGCAAAGTCGCTTCTAAAAATAACGATGTAGATCAGTGGGGTAAAAGAAACATTGACTCGTTAAAACACACGTTAAAATGATAAATTCTATATAGTTCGCAAAAATGTTTTTTTTTAATATTCATATTAAAGGCAAGTTGTGGCTAGAAATAATAAAGTCTGAGTACGGAGAAATATCTCACCCAGATGAAAATCGTGGTGAGATCCCCAAATTGTTTCGATATTAAATCATCTTTTACATTTGTGTGGGCGGGGAGAGAGATGGCGATGAATCAATACCGAACCCAGAATAACCCTCGAGGGTGGCATGGCGTGTCTCGCCAGAGGCCTCCTCCTCCTCCTCCTGTCGGACTGCTGACCTCGGGGAAGTCTCGGGAAAGGTTGACATGGCACGTGGCACTCGCGTCTTTTGGTTTGGTCGTGGATTACTTCGGCTCGCCGGGTCACATCTCGATGTATAAACCATCGGAACCCCCCCCCCCCCCAACTACACACACAGATAAAGATCCCCCGCGTAGCCTTGAGAGACACTTGGGGAAAGTGCTGTTCGTGAGTAGCACATAGGAAGGCTGGCACGGCACACGATGGGGTGGGTGGTCAGCACCACGTCCAGTCGCCTTTTTCTCCCCAGTAGCAAAGTTTACACACCGCACAAGGTATTCATTTGAGGCTGAGTCGACCTAGGCGAGCCCCAGGATCGGTTCAGATAATCGTCACTGGTGTTGGTGGCCGTGAACGGGAATTGAGCGCGGATCGCCGGGTCCGTAGCACAGCGCGCTGACCGCTGCACGCACACAGGCGGGCACATGCATAGGCTCATGATTTGTGTGCACAACTCAACACAGCAGGCGGATACATCGACTGAGCCTTCCAATAGCAGTCGACGCATACGGGAAAGAGGAGATGCCGGTAATAGTTACGGACAGACACACACACACGTGTATATACCACCCTGCACACACACACACGAACGTGTATATACCACCCTGCACACACACACAAACGTGTATATACCACCCTGCACACACACACACAAACGTGTACATACCACCCTACACACAAACGTGTATATACCACCCTGCACACACACACAAACGTGTATATACCACTCTGCACACACACACCAGGAGGGGATTGTTTAGCAGTGGTCCACGCGATGCGCTGTGATTTACATAACACATTCAAGCGATGTCTATCGCCCGGCCGTGTGTTCAGTTCGTGTTACGACTTCAAGGTTGGGGAAAACAGCTCTCAGATTGGCTCTTGAGAGGTTGAATGTTGTTGACCAAGCCTCAATGTAATATCTGCGGGGAGCTGATGCGCAAGTGTCAATTGTGAAACTCTCCAGTAGTCGTGTGCGCCTGTGGTCATCCTGAACGCACCGCAGTGCATCGCGTAACGACGCGGTGATGCCCCGATCCGCAAACACGAAGGAGCCATCAGAGCCATGCACTGCTCCTGGTGCTGCGATTTGCCTTGACCACCGGACTGTCAAGTCGCAGTTGCTGCTCTGCGTCGACATCAGCCGCCGTGCGGAAGTCAAAGACAGAATGCAACATCTGTGGACGGAATCACGTGGGGCCCACTTCCGATCACTTCCATCCTCTTATAATTCTACTTCGTACGATCGCTGTTGTGCTGGTCGGCGTGGATGAGCGTCAGCTGTCCGCCCTGCGTCGAGGTGGTTCATGAGCCAGACGACTGCGGAGTCGGGAGTAGCCCAGAGCCGTCCCTAGGGGTACGG